ACTCGAAACTGTTCTTTTTTTTAACTGAATCTGCTGTTTCTTTTTCTTTCTTCTGTCCTAATTTTTTTTTTGCTGGAAGTATAAATGGATGAGGAGTAGAAAAAAGAAAGCAGAAGAAGAATTAGGGGAAAAATAGACTTTCTAGTTATCGGCTCCAAGCAGTTGTGGGTAACCAACGGAAAAGTTTAGTGAAAAAATAGCGGCACAACGATTACGGTGTGCAAAAAATTGGTGATTGGACAATAAATATTTGAGGGACTAAACTGCGGAAGAAGTGAGGTTTAAAAATTCCATCAAAAACAGGAATATATATATTTTTTATTTTTGATTTACTTGGGCAAATGAAAAAAGTGATTTTTTAAAACTTTTTTCTTCTTCCTTAGTCTTTCTCCGCTATTCATTCTGACATTGGTTTGAAAATTAAGAACAATTTTTTCTTGTTACTGGTATTTCTGCCATTTATGTTGTCGTTTTTTTCCCAACTTCATAGTTTATCATCTTCGTCTTTTTTCTTTCTGTATAATGAAGCTAAGAGCGAAAGCAAAGTTTACTTTATGAATAATAATTGAAAACCTGTTATTATTATACAAATGGTACTGTATTACAGTTTTTTGTTAAGGCGATCCGTTCGATCCAACTGAAAGGTTATGCTTTTTATCGCTTCCTTCGTTTTTCTTTTTCAATTTTTGATAGTGTTTATTTGCTGAAAGACGATACGTATATATATATATATATATATATATATATATATATATATAGGTGCTGTGCTTAAGAGTGCGTATTTTTGTTTGTGGTCGTCCCCAAAATCCTTACAACTTTTTGGTTTATCAAACAGCTTTTGGGCAGTATCCACTGGGTACGGTACTACTGGCAATAGGAATTTTCAAGATAAAGGAAACAGCAAAAAAACTATTTTGAAGAAGAGGAAGATGAAAGATGCGGAAAAATAAGTAGCAAAGTAAGACAGTAACACAGTTTCACTTACCTGCAAAATGTTGATTGAAGGAATAGATTAGAATAAAAAACAGAGTCAGTTGAAATGCGGACAACCGAAGCAAGCTTACTGTTGTGTCGTACCAAAATTTTTTGTGGTTTTTTCT